GGAAAGCAGAAGTGAAATCCTGTTCAAGCAACACAAGGCGATTTCGCCAGAATGTCTCGAAAGTTCAGATCTCTATAGGACATTTTCCGATTACTTATAGAATTCACAGCCTTAAGAAAGGTAGTGTAGACTACAATGGACTCATACGCCCGAGCGCCAGTGACTCCACCCCTGGGATGCCTGTCGTCTGGCTGTCGTCTTGCCCATTTGCATGCTCTCTCTCTGCTCTATTTGGTCTCGTTCTATACCCAACAAACCTTGTCTCTCATACTGAACAAGGAGTGCCTCATTCAAAGTGCTTCAACGGTTTCCTCTGCTTTTTCCTTCACAGGCAGGTCACGTCTGTTTTTCAGCCTCATTACCTAACGAAGTTTTGCACGGCTTATCGCGGAATGTCCCTTTATCGAACTTTGGCAGGCACCCCTCCCTTCATAGAATTTCGGCATGTTTCCCTAAGTACCGGAGTGATGTATGGCCGAAGACAAGCTGTACCCTCACCTCTGATGACGGTCCTCATGTGCGCGATGAGTGTCCGCAACAGGGTGATCATAACGTCGCGGAAAATCGCTCCGTCCGTAAGAGCCCCCTTCAGGAAGAATCGTCTATTACCACCTGTCCTTGCAGTCTGTCGTTGTACCTGCCCAATATCTGCGGTTGCGCGCGTGCTGTGAGAGCGGAGTGCGTGGCCTCCGCTAAGCTTCAGCCCTTCTCAAAAAGTACATGAGTTCACCCGCAAACGATTTTTTATAGCGCAGCAAGCGGGGTTCGTGGTTTCGCGATGGATTTTTGCGAAATATACTGCACATGGAATGCCTCCTCCCTACCGCACAATTCACATACGACGCCCACGTCGCAGATTCCGCGACATGCGCTTGACTCTGCTCTCCCGCCCCCTCGTTCCCCCCCCCCATTCTTCTTCCTGAAGGAGCTGACGGAAAAAAATCAAGAACTGTAAAATAGTGCGGTCAAGACCTCGTAAAATAGTGACCGAAATAGCATGTTTTGAAGAAGGAGATATGGGCGGAGAGGAGGTTGACAGCAAGTGATAAAGGGTGAGAAGAATCCTAAATATGAGCAAAAACAGAAAAGGATGAGGTATGCAACAGAAGGGGCACCGGGACCAAAAGAAAAGCTAACACCAGAAATTATCACAGCAAAAGAAATTTTGAGGACATTAGGGCTTGCCACCGATTGGACTCAATTCGATCATTTGCATTTCTTTACTTGTAGTCCGTTTAGCCGGCAACTCTTCTGGAAGTGGCCGGCCCTTCGTCTCCGGTAGGCAAGACAGCTACTACAATTAGCTGTACACTAAGGAATACAGCGAACACCAGATACGGTATCAGGTAGTGTACTGTACGTAAATGCACAACCTGAAATTGTTAAATATACATTTTGAGAAGGTTTTGCGTAAAAACAAAGAGGAAAACCATTTTGACAAAGTATGCCTAAATAAATTGTCCCAAGTGAAAAGATGCAGGGGCGTTGGTTAAGTTCGCTAACAGGTTGAGACAATCGCGCGCAGTCGCGTTGCAGCGTGGCCGCAGCGCAACAGCGCGCGTCCACTCAGAGCGGCTATGCTTTTGGCATATTTGCATACATTGTAAGACCTAAATCCGAGCTGTCAAATAAGCCATGCAAAAATTGAACTAAAATCAAAATGGGAGCGGGGGGGGGGTGGAGCAGAACTTAGGAAAAGAGCCATAAGTTTATGGTATAGGGAAAAGAAAAGCTCAAAAAAATAAAATGAAGCTAACCATTGGAGCAAGTACGGATCCTAAGCGAGCGCCGACATTGCAGACGGCACGTGCCATATTTCTGACAACAGTAGGGAACAGCTCAGCCGAATACAGATGATTAATCTTCCAAGCAGGATCTAGCGCTGCTGAGACGACCAAGGATAGCGCTACTAATGACCAGTGGCCAGGAGAAGCACCATACAACTGGCTAAAATAACAAACAACAGTAGCAATCAGCAGGAGATTAAAATTCGCTCCTAAGCCAGGGTGAGGGTTGGGAACTAGCCGACAGCGAGACTAGGTCCCCACCTTCCCCTGCTAGTCTGCGCCCTATCAACGAGATAGTTTTCTATGAATATGACTGGCTTTAACGAGAGCGCACGTGAACAAACAGTTACTGTGGCTTCGAGGCAGGCGGTTGCAGCTAACGTCCTCGGTGAAAGGGCTGAGTTTGGCACGGCTAAAAGCCCTCTCGCAGCCCTTCCACCAATGACACTGACAGAATTCGCCCGCTCCCAGCCATAGTGCCTTTGATTTTCTCCTCTGCACTCCCAACTACCTTAGAACCTGATTTACCTACCTAACTACCGCTAACCATGCACAGAGACATGCTACTGCAACCGAGATAGACACAATTGGACGTCGACCGACAAGAGCCGATACAGCAAACGGTGTAAGGCCTTAAAAGCATTAAATGAGTTTGCCACTGACTGAAAAATATCAATTTTACCAACCCATCACAAATTTTGAGATACCCATAAGAGCCATATTTACATAACGATTCCCTGGTAAAGCATCCGCATTGAAGTAAAATCTGAAAAATAAGATCAATATTGAATGGACTGGTTTTAGAAGCTGCTTCGAATTGTGTCGCCTCTCTTTCTGGGCTACTAAAGGAGTAGCGTACCAGTGAGATGGACAATAGGGAGACCAGCCCCGCCTACAAGACAACTATGGGCTCAGGGCACAGCATCGCTGGAGACTCTATCAGGGAAGGCGTAGCTTTGCAGGAGGAGATGCCAGTTGTACTTGTCTTCATAGAAATCTTTCCGAGCTGGCGAACTCCAAATCAAAGCAGGACTGATTGGCCTAGATGGGCCTTTTTAGTTTGTCAATGATGTCTCGCGCGCGACATTCGCTCCAAGACCTGACCGATTCAACGTTACCAAGTCAACTAGCTAGAAACTATCTGACAGTTTGAAGCTGTAGCTGCGCCTCTGATGCCCACACCCGAATAGAGAACATCGTGAGACCACAGAAAAAGGACTTTTACGCGCGTACTCTTTATGCGAAATTCGCGGTTCATGCATTATGCTATCCGAACGACACGCATTTTTTTTAAATGGAAAAAAAAAAAAAATAGAAACAAACCCGAAAGACACCACTGAAGACGAAACGAAACAGTAGCACAACGCAAAGAGTGGAATGTACACTGAGGGATGTCTGAAAAATACTTTCTCAGAGACAAGTCTGAATCGTCTAATCACAATATTCACTATTACACCCGTGCAAACAATACGATCCCTTCTTGTAACTGTCTCGGGTCAATCGTCCGCAGTATACTGCTGAATACTACGTATAAAACCTACTTATTCACGTGGTTCTGTATTCATCCAGTAAGGATAAGCTGTACGCGAAAATCACGATGGGGCGTAGTAAAAAGTGAATACCATTTGGATCTCCACCAGTTTTGACTGTTTTTTTGTTTGATAACTGCTGGTTTTAGCGCCGCAGTGCGCGATACGAAAGTTATAACTCTCCACCCAGTATTCACAACGAGGGGCCGTGCGTCGATGCCGACGTATCGCAGCGAACAACTTGAACGACAAGCTGCCTATCACGTCTAAGTGTAAAGAACGCCAAAAGAGAAGGTCCAGACAATTAGCGAGTTTGGCTATAGTCAGGCGCATGCTGGCCGTGTGGCATGTTGCGTCTGCGGGTTTTGCATTTGGGTGAGTTCGAAAAATAACAACCCTTAAACCTTTTTCGGCGGCATTTTCGGGTGATGAAAAAGGCACTTTTTTTACAGCTGTCCACCGCGAATGGCCAGGATCGGGGCCCTCGAAGGTGAGCGTACAGCGTATTTTTGGTACATACATGAGTAAAACATGTGCTATACAAAAGCAGCGGAAGCGGGGGAGAGTTTTGTTCCTTTCGCAGCTTCAGACGGGACCTTGTGCCCCTGTTGTGTGGACTGGTGGGGACATTTTTCTGATTCGTTAGTTCCTGGTAATTTACTTATTCCACCATGTGAGACCTCTTCACCCTTGTCGAGAGCCAACGAAGCTCGCAGAGCTTCATAGAAGCCTACAGCTATCCAAAGGAGGTCCCGACAATGATCGAAGGGAACCAGCAGAATGCAAACCAAGGCAAACGCTCGAAAACTTGATTCAACCAGCAATTGTGATCCTAACAAGCGCCTCTACCCCGGCAAACCACCCCTGGAACACTGGGAGCCTCTTAAAATCGAAGTCCCTGGAAGAGAATCCTAATCCATACCTGAAAAGATCTGCGTATGAATACCGCTCTGACAAAACTTTGGCATTCGAAACTGACAACGCCGGTTCGGAGAAACCTAATATCTCCCACCACTGCCCATCTAAATCTCAAGAGATATTAATTAGCAAATTAATTATTAAGATAATTACAAAAACAATCTCAAAAAAATAGATGAGCTTCAAAACCTCTCATGGAGTCCACTACATCAGACCGATGCGACACCACTCGAAGGGCCATCGAACGAGCTTCAGCACTACGATGTACGCTAGCTAGCCAGCGGCAGCTTTCAACAACCCAGATCTGCTGAAAATGGCAACCATAGATCACTCACTTCCAACTTTCCTCACACTTCACTCATCGATATATTTAAGCTTCAACAAAATTGGCGCTATTCGGCTCAGGGAAGCGAGAGAGGTGTGTGAAGGGATGCGGACATGCGTAGACTATCGCAGGTTTCTCAGGCTAACTGTAACTAATTACATTACACGTCTCATCTTCGATAGAGCCTGTCCGTACACGGCTTGTCAGCAGTACCGAAAGCCCTGCTACGTATTGGCTCACAGTGATTTGGCACGTCTCCACAGTAGGTAGCGGCGGTTTTTTGTGGGAAATAGGCTAAATGCCCCGCCAAGCCGAACTCGCGCGCCAGGATTTGATAAAATCTACTTAAAGTTCTTGCTGCGGTGCCCCATGCTTCCAAATATAAACAAGTTGACTTACAAAAGCGAGAAAAGCTATAAAAGCCATCGCTGACGTGAGTAGGTGAAAAAGGAACCAATGCTGAGTAAAGCGAGCAAGCAGGGCTACAAAGACCTGAAAGACAATAATCAATCGAGCTCGTTGAGTGCTTTCACCTGACTGAGACCCGATCTTACGGATCATGCAAGTAATCACCATAGACAAACTCCATCCGTTTAGTGACACTCCCAGAAGTCTTGAACTAGGGTGGTCGAGACATTCCACAAGTAAAACGAGATTGGTTACCTGAACACCTGTACATCACTGAATTTCAGATCATTACTGGACCCTTCTACTATATTAAAGCATTACATACTTGCGTTTAGATAGCCGGAGGTGGTGTAGTGGCAAATGGCACTCCTACCACGCGCACCGTATGGGGATCAAATCCCGGATCGGCTCCCGCCCAAGCCAACCAAGCCCGGGGACGGTTATTTGGTACCAGGTTCGTCTGGGAGGATAAGAACACTGATTTGTACTCGGCGGCCCTTCGCAAGTCACTGTATAGGCCACATCGCATTCAATAAGGCACTGCCATTTTCAATGGAAGAATGTGTGCAGCATCCCATCGCATGACGGCCTTGTTCCTCCCTGGATTTGTAGCAACTATAGCCACAAATCCAGGGAGGAACAAGGTAGTCATGAGATGGGCCCCTCCACCCTCTCCGTCGCCACCCCTCCCCCCTCCAGAGAAGTGGTGGAATTCTGAGGAGAAAGCTCTGGAAAGTTGGTAGGAAGTCAGGAGAACTTAGCAGACGGTAGGTTGGCGAAGGAATGGAGAAGAAGAAAGGGCCTTGT